GGGGGGGGGGGGAGGTGGACTGCAGACCTCCTGAGACATTGGCACTCAATTCATTTAACATCTGGTGCTTTCAAATCAAAATGCATCTGTAGCCAGATTTGATCCTCAGGCCAGGAATTTGTCCCACAGACTCTAAGGCCACCTATACCTTTTGCTTCCTTTAGAGCTGTACTCTCACCCTATGCAGGTTTTTCCTGGTGTCCTCACCCTGCCTAGTGTAGAAAGCAACCTTAAAAACAGGCTCTTACAAATGTCTGTGACTTGCCTCTCCCAGAAATGTTTGCCTCATAAATGAGGATCTGCAGAGGGGTCACTTCTCAATGCAAAGAAATTCATCTATAATGGTAGAATGTCTGGCACTAGAGACAGCCTGTCCAGTGACTGTGTGAGCACTTGCCAGGGCTTCCACGTACTCTGTCTGGGTGGAACGCCAGCCCTGGGGAGGATCCAAGGAGCCTTGGCCTCCTACCTTCCTGCAGATGGCTTGATGCTCCAGCCAGGGCCCTGACCCATGCACAGGTGCACTTGCTCCTACAGAGGCTTCTTCACACCCTCTCATTTTCTCCACATTCCCACCCGTCTTGCTTTCCAACTTGCCCCATGGGTGGCAAAGTAGATGACCAGAAATGTGTCATTGTGCCTTGAAAGCTTTCTCAAGGGGGCATTCAGCCAGCCCCGGGCCTGGCCCATAGTTTCTACCCTATAGACAGCCCTGGGATGAACCAACACCTGCAGAGAAGTGACCACAGAGGGGCTTTAAAAGTCTCACTGGGCAATTTCAGAGGCTAGAAATCAGACAGCCAAGCACTTTTCCACCCACAAGCCCAAAACCACAGACTTGGAGAGGCCCAGCGAAAGAGCTGAGTGCTCTGTGTTTTAAAAACGAAGCTCGGTGTCTGTGCACGTACACTGTGGAGGGTGGCTTGCGTTTGAGGTTTGCTGTCACTTTGCTGGGTGAATATGTATCATCGTGCAAGCTGTTCTGACAAATGCCATCTGTGTAATAACTGTGGCTCAGTGAAGACTGATGGCAGGCAGGCCCTGCTGAAGCCCTGTGGATGCACTGTCCTGTGTCATCACCAGCGATGGCCATTGCTAGTACCCTCACCTGACAGCCAGGCAAACCCAGCTCATAACAACTCTGTATTTTATTCTGTGTTCTTGACCCCTAAACTATGCAATTCACAAATTAACTCATTATGGGCATGTTAAGGCCTCCGATTAATGAAAAAGAATGTTTCCCTTGGGGTAGACACGGAGCTTTACTTGTGTGCAAGCCCTGGTCTGGGATTCCCTGGCCCTCCCCATTCCATGGATCCCCATGCAGACATCAGTAACCCTGCACATGGCGGGGGGAGCCTGGCCAGGACGAAGTGGTTCCAGGCAGAGGGGCCAAGGCTCAGAAGCCGGCTCTGTGGGTGACTAGTTCCTGGTGGCCTTGCTCTAGCCTCCTACTTATCATTTCCTGGATTCACAGCAGATCTTTTGTCTGAGAAACTACAGCCACGTCCCGTAGATTTAGAATCATAGAATGAGAGTCAGATGGGATTGTGGAGACCACACATTTCAGTCCCCACCCTTGCCCCCAAGTGGGTCAGGCTGACCCTGGTGCCCCTGGGGTAAGCCCGTGCTGTACCTACTGCCCTGATGGCCGCCCTGTGAGGGTGGCTGGGTGTGCTCCCTGGGGGCACAACTATCTGTGGGCAAGGAGCTGCACAAGTCTAATTGTGCAGGGTGTGCTTGCCCGGCACTATGGGCCATGCATGGGCTGGGGTCACGGGACGGGACAGCTAAGGTTTTTGGGTAGAAAAGAGATAAAGAAAAGTAAGGCCATCCCAGAGTGAGATGTCTACCAGCCTTAGCAGAAGAGACAGTGTCAAAGTGGGACATGGCCTAGGGCAGGTCTGGCAAGCCAGATGGCCTAGGGCCAGATACAGGGCCCAAGAATGGCCGGCACTGGGCCAGGGCACAGGGCTGGGGCTGTGCTGGCCTGTTTCCCTCTGGGAAGGCCCAGCCAGCCTCCTAAAGGGTCATGCCCAAGCCCTCCTGGAGGGAAGGGTCCTTAGGGCCCCAAACTAGAAACTATTCCTTAACTGTCAGGATGAAGCTTCCTCTATCTCTACAGACCCTGGACAGCATGGTCCTTCTTGCCCACTGGGCGTGGCAGGGCCCTCAAAGGAAAATTTTCGTTTTTCCCCCATACCTCACAAAAGCCCAGGTGCAGCTTTTGTCTCTTCCCCCCCTCCCCCTCCCCTTTCTCCTTTCTTGGTTCCTCACCTCTAATTTCCCTTTTCTGTCCACTCACAGAAACCTCTAAATGATGACGCTCCCTATTCCGGCTCCTTTGGGCTACACCCCTTTAGCTGGGGCGATCAGAGGAAGGGGTGCAAGGGGGTCCAGGCCCTTGGACTGGCTGAGCAGGGAGGGCTTGGGGATCGCCCCTAGAGCAACCCCAAGGCCCTGACAGCAGGAGGGACAGTTCAAAGTCACACTGCCAGGAGCAGTATCTGGTCTCCAATGCTCAGGGCAGCCCTTCTCCCACTCCCCACAGTGCCTGTCCTTGTCCCCACCCTGTCTCAGCATGTGCTACTCCCCAGCCCCCTTCTGTTCCTCAACAGCCTGTTTGTGCCCTCCCCCAAGCCCCAATTCCCACCTCTCTACCAACCTCAGGCCTCCCAGGTCACCCAGGAGAGGGAGACCCCTTTCAAAGGCTGTTTTAGTAGGTTGTGTGTGAATCACACTGAGACAGACAGAGGTACATGGATATCTCACTCCCTGACCTCGGCTCTGGCCAGTCCTGCTCTGGCTCCTCTCGGAGCACAGTATCTGTCATGCTCCCTTTCCTAAGGTCACCTGGCTCTGGAGGCTGCACTGGCCTCAGCAGGGCCCTGGGCTGGGGTGGTGGGTGGCTGAGGCAGGACTCGGCAACCAGCCTGTCCTGACTCTCCCCCAGGTTGTCATTAACCCTAACTACGAGGTGGCAGAGTCTGACTACACCAACAACATCATGAAGTGCAGGACCCGCTACGATGGCCACCGCATCTGGATGTACAACTGCCACATAGGTAAGGGCCCTGGACAAGCACCCCAGGTTGGGATTCCCCAGGCCAACTAGGTCCCCCCTTGCAGGAGACAGGCAAGAGCCTCCTTTCTTCCTCGAGGAGCCAGGGCCACTTCCTAATTTGGGTATAGAGCTCGGGGAATGCAGCCAGCCTAGCCTTTCCACTCACAGGAAGACATAAGGCCTGGTTGTGGATTGGGTTTTCACAGCCAGCTCTTGCAAAGGGGGCGCTACAGAACCGGCTGGCCCAGCATGGACCCCAAAGCTATTTAAGGGCGGGAGCTGAGGCCACCACCTCATTATGCATGTGACCTCAAAAATGTGGGCGTCAGCAACTTGTGGTTCTGTGTATCAGTTTTCCGGTCCAGAACTAGAAGCTAGTGAACTGATGTGGCTTCTGGCCCCAAAGAAAGGAACTTTTCCTTGCGTTATACAGCCTGGGGCACGCAGGGAAGCGGAGCTTTCTCCTCTGCAGGAAGAGTGCAGGTCCTCACTTGGGGAGGGCAACCTGAGCACACTGTATTCCTTCACTCCTTCGCTTAACCTGACACAACACCTGGCGTGTGCCCGGCCCTAGCGCTGTCCTGGTGGCGTGACATAGAAGTGGCCCCAGCGGGCCACCTGGTGGAGGGTGGTGGCTCCAGGATCCCTGAGGCCGGCTGCTCCACCCAGGGCGAGGGCCGAGCATCCCGTTTGCCAAGCTCTGTCTTCTGATGCCCACCCCTCAGGTGGTTCCCTCAGTGAAGAGACGGAAAAAAAGTTCGAGCACTTCGGTGGACTCTTGACTAACCAGCTGTCCACGCGGTAAGGCAGCCCGCGGGCCACCTCCTGCCTCCGGACCACAGCTCATCTTCCCCAGCCGCCGGCTGATGGCTGGATCGCCACACTCCCCCTCGCCCAGCCCAGCCCCTGCCCCGTCTGAACACTGCGGCCGCGTCCAAGCCCAGGAGGAAGGGGTGTTCCTGACATTCGCTGGGCGCTGCTACATAGAGCCTGGGAGGCCTCTGGGAACGAGCTTGTCTGCAAGGCCCTGGCAGCAGTGCCACCAGCCATCTTGTCCAGGACCCCAGGTTGTCATCAACTTGTCCCATCCAAACCCCAGCCCCCGTCCCCGCCAAGTCTGACACCACCCTGCTCAGCTCACCACTGATCATACGGGGCTTACCAGCCCGAGGTAGTCAGGCTGAATCCCATTTCTCCTCCTCTTAGGTCCTTTCCAGCCAACTTGATTGTCTAGAGCTCTCTTCCAATTAAACGAACTGCCTCCCCCCCACCCCATTCTATTCACATATAGAAATAAGCTGCCATGTTTTCTGAGCGGTGAGCTCAAGAGTTGGTGCTTCTTCCCCCAGCCCTTGCGTCCTCTTATTTTTCAAGATGCCATTATTATATTATATTTTCATGGACTTTGAAATACAAAGTAGTGGTATTTAATACTGGCGATCTAGGCCTTTGAAAATATAGCTCAAAAGGAAAGCCCGCCCACCTGTGTAAGTGACTCACGTTTCTGTCATTCTGATTCTGCGGGTAACTGTTAACGGTGCTATAACCAGGGTCCTGGGTGACAAGGACACTACCGAACACCATGTGTCATCATGGACACTTACACATACTTGAAACTTGGAATAAAAGATCTATGATTCTCGTCTGTGTTTCATTTGGACTGCTGCACCCAGGCCGAGCAGCAGAGCTCCTGCCCAGCGGGCCGTAGGGAGCCTTGTACACTCAGGTCCGCTCCTGCAGAGAGCTGTGGTCCAGTGTGGCTACAGGGGCCCCCCTTCCCTACACCCCCAAAGGAGCAACCCTGCCCCTTGAGATCTGTCCAAGGAGGTCACAAAATCAACAAAAATACAAGTCACAACTTCTCTTGAGCTCTTAGTTTTTATTGAAATGTGTCAGGGGGCAGGCACAGCAGTTGTGTTAGAACGAGAAGGGACACCTAGCCTCGGCACTGACTCCATCCAAACTAGAAAAATGAGTGCACGGGGACCTGTCCCCACAAAGATGTCATTACATCTGCTCTTGTGAGGGAGGCAAACTCAGTGGTCACGTCAGATTTTACCTCTTGGCTTTGTTCATGTTTATTTCTCCAAGGAGCCCTTCTGTAGCTCGTACTGACAGGAAACATTAGGACAAGTCCACGGGGCAGAGCCATTAGCACTGCCATAGCCCACAGCTCTGTAGCTCCCAGGGGCAGGTTAGGGTACCTGACTTGTGAGGGAAGACTGCACAGGTGTCACACAACAGGTGACAGGCTCTGTGCAAAAATGATTTCCAGGCCCAGCAGAATCCTCCACTCCAGTCTGGAATGACCAATTTCTTCAGCATCCAGGTCTAAACTGGAAGACAAACAGCACCCCCTAGTGTCCCACAGTTGATCATAGTTTGAAATAATCATAACAACTTTTGTTGTTAATCCTCACTGGAGGATATTTTTTCCATTTTTTTTTTTTTTTCAGAGAGAGAGTGTGAGGGGGTAAGGGGAGGGAGAGAGAAAGAGATACATCAATGTGACAGAGTCACATCAATTGGTTGCCTCCTGCATGTGCCCAGAGGGGGGCCAGGGATTGAACCTGTAACCCAGGTACGTGCCCTTCACGGGAATTGAACCCATGACCCTTAAGTGCACGGGCCGACCCTCTTAACTACTGAGCCACACCAGCCAGGGCAGATTAAAACAACTTTTAAGTTTTTATTTTTTCTCAGCTTCTGGAACTAAACCAAACTAAAGCCCATGCCCCACAGTGACGCTGCAACGGGAATACAGGGCCATTCTGGTCTCCGTAAAGGCTTGTGGTGTTGAGGCACCAGCTTGTCATGGGGGTGTTGATCCAGGCTGGCTGGGCCTCTCAGGGCCTCGGGGAGGTAGGAGACTCAACAGCAGGCCGCTCTCTCTTTTTGTGTTGAAGTCCCAGGGCCCGGGCCACCAGCCTCCGGGCCACTGCTGTACTTGTCTGTGGTCTCTCCTTTGCCAGACGCAGGAGCTCTAAAAGGAAAGCCCCATGGGGTGGGGATTTGAATTCAAGGCCATGGCCACCTCCCCTCCCTGCAACACAGCAGCCTCAGAGGCCATCTGAGCCAACCTCTAAGACCAGCTGTGCCCACAGCCTGGCCAGATGCAGTGAGGGGGCCCACTTAGGGCTTCTGGGTCCTGCCCTAACCCTGCTACCTCTCTGTGCCCTCCCTGTTTCTCCACCTGCACGGTACTCCTCCCTGCTTTGTAGGGCCATTTGGGAGGGAAATCACCATGTCAGGATGGGACACCTAGAGCTCTTGGACAGACAGGATATTTATAGTCCCCAAAAAGTAAGGGGGAAAGGTCATATGATCCACAAGAGCATGGATGGCATCAGCAGACCTCTTCTGGGCCAGTTTTTCTGGCCACTGCTTTGCAGCCACAGAAAACTGGCCTCTAAAAGTCCCCATCATGCTTTCTGGAAGAAGAGCGAAGGGGAGGAGCTATCATTTATTTGGCACCTTTTGTGTGCCTCTCGCTTCTCCTGGCAGGTCTTCCAGGCCCTTTAATCCATGCCTATAGCATAATCTGTATGATCTGCTTAGTTTATAGAGAAAGAAACCAGCTGACAAACAAGAGGTAACTTACTCAAAGTCAACTTAAATAAGTGACAAAGCCAGGATCACACGCAGTGAGGACTCTTTTTACCCCACTGCACAATGCAGTTCCCAGGAACTTGCAGAAAAGACCAAGCTGCTCCCTGAGCAACACCCAGCAGAGGTGTGAACAGGAGGGCAAGCCCTACACAGAGGAGCTGGCACACAGCCCTTTCTGCTGGGCCCTTCCGTCCCAGGGCGTCCCCAGACACGCAGTGTGAGAGGAGCACCCCACTGGCCATTGAGCCCGGGGGTCCTAAAGCAGAGAGCTGAACAAAGGGGGCTGAATCACAGAAAAGGCCCCACGGCCTAACCACAGCCTCCCCAGCGAGACACAGCCACTCCCTTACTTGGCCTCTGCAAGGCTTTCAGCTTGGACTGCTTGCTTCCCTGCATGAGGGGCCGGATCTTGAGCCCTGAGAAATCCTTGGTCAGGGCTTCAGCAGCTGTGGAAAGAAAACAGATCTGGAGCCATCCTCTCCTCTTCCTGGGAAGGCCCCCTCAGGGCCCAGGAACACACACGCCACCCAAAACGAATGCAGCCGCTTCATGCACCCATTCAAAGTCCTGGGACAGGGAAGCCTGGAGGCCACTGTGTCATCCGCCCACCCTGCCCCCAGCCCCACATGCCTGCACGGGCCACCTGTGCTCTCAGAAGGAAAACCCGCAGAGTCCAGCTTCCACCCTCCGCCCTGGGCTGCTCAGGAGCACAGCAGAGGCAGCCTCCGCCTTCTAAAGCCTGGGGACTTCAAACTGTACCCCTCCCCTGACTCAAGACCCTCCCGGGGCGCACACCCTCACTCTGAGTTGTGCCTGAGCTACTTACAGACAGTATGTCAGAGCCAGGAGGGGCTTCATGTCCAAGCCACCCATTTATAGATGAGGAAACTGAAGCTAGGGCATGACCTGCTCACACCACACAGCCTGCAGAGCACACAGGCAGCCCTGGCCAGGCCCTGCCCAGTGTTCCTTCTTTCCATAGCTCCAGGCCTTGCCTCCCTGCCTCCCTTTCAGTCAGCTCCCACTCTGGGGTTGGAGCCCCCACTGTACCCCGGGCCTCTGCTCCCTAAACACCACCCCCTTTCCCTCAGGTTCTCTTGAGGACGGAGCCCACACCAGCTATGGCCTCTCAGCTTCGGCATTTGGAAGCCCAGCCAAGAGGGGCAGGAGTGTTACTCTTCATAAATACACCCAAAGTGAGCAGTGGTGTGACGGGGGCGGCCTAGGAAAGTGGCCAAGAGGGAGCAGGAACACTGGAGTGACAGGAGGCTGGCTCGTGTCCCCAGCTTTGACACTGAGGATCTTCATAACCTCGGTCTCCCCATTTAGAAAATAGAGGTGACCTGACCCACTTCTTGAGGATATAATAAAAACGGAAAAGAACGCGTGTGCTTGAACCACACGAAATGGCCAGTATTTGAACACTTTTGACCTATAAAAACAGTATTTCATATGGTTTCATTTAATGTGTGGAAGTGCCTAGGGCTTGGCCTGTGACATGTGTTCAGTGTCACCTGAACCCGAAGCCTCTGGACTGAAGGACTAACGTGAATAGGACAGGCTGTGAGCTGCTGGCCCAGAGCCCTCTGCCCCTGGACTTCTGAATTAGGTGGGCTGGGAGGGGGCTACAACCTGGACATGGATGGTCTGCATCAGGGAGACCAAGGCGCCTTCCCTTCTCAGTGACAGAGGAAGGGCCCAGCCCACCGTGAAGCTGCATTACCTGAGGCCAGGCAGGGAAAGACGCCCAGAGCGTGCGTGTCGTCCACCCACTGAATCTTGAACTCCTCCCTGAGACGGGGAAGAGACGGCAGAGTGATTAAGAAAGCAAATGGGCAAAACCCTTTGTGCTAAAAGAAGTCCCCTCCCACCTCCAGTCCTCAAACACTAGGAGCCCAAGACAAGTTCCATCTCCTCGGGGAAGGAGACAATCACCTGCAACAGACTTTCTCTGAAGACCATGTGTTTGGCTTCAGAAAGACAGGAATCAGTCCGGCTGATCAGGTGGGCCCTGATTCCTAGGTCTGAAGAAGCCCGGACTAAAAGAGCTCACAGAGCACACCACCAAGGGAGATGGGGGCTCCTACTGGCACTGGCACAGCCAGGCCAAGGGCATGGGGTCTGCGGCTGGAGACAAAAGGGTTATGTGGTAGGGACAAGGGACAGGACCTAAAATATGCTTGTTTCTGTTCCTGCTCCTGCTCAACTTTCTTCCCACTGCTCAGGAAAGCAGCACTGAGTTTGAGGGCCAGGAGAGGCCCAAAGCAGTGCCACCCACCCCCAGCTCTGCGGGCACTGACTACGCTGGCTGAAGAAGTCACGGGTAGCCCTGGGTTGGCCACCTTCAGGGGTCGAGAACAGGTGAGCCCCTCGTGCCCCACCAGCTGCCCCTCCAGCTCAGGCTCCAGGAGGGCATGGGAGGGCTTTTGCAAAGCAGTCAGAAAAGGGGGCCATGAAGAAAGGGGATTTTTAAAAGCCTACATAGGAAAAGAGGAGTATTAAAGAAAGAAAAGTGAACATTAAAGAAAAGAAAAAGAGAAAAGACAAGTTGGACTTAAGGAATTTGGGGGAACAGAAGTCTTTCCTTCAGCATATCCCTTCGGCTCCCATCTCCACTCCGACTCTTCCCAGGACATCCACCTCAGCACCCCCAGAGGTGGTTCCTGCACGGAGATGGCCCTCAGTCTGTCGACTGATTGGGTGGCTAGGATGTGGAACAAGGGTTAGGGGTGGGGGGTGGACTGCCTGCATCCTGCATCCAGACAGAGGGTCCCACTGGGGCCTGGCAGGCATGCAGGGGCAGGATGGAGGTGTGCGTGCACCAGCAGGACCAGCTCTAGGGCCTCAGGAACAGGCCTACAACCAAAAATCGCTCTCCTCTTCCCCAGTCATGGCCAGTAGGCTGAACTGCCCAGAAGTATGGAGCCCAGAACAATGGCATCTGCTTTCTGCCTTTCTTTCTAGATAGCTAGGCACTTGGGAGAGGGGCAGGCAGGTATACCCAACCACAAAGGGATGTCCTAGCTCCTCTTAAGAGGGAGCACCCTGCTTCCTCTGCCTCCCCGAAGCCTCGCCTGTACTCACTGGAACTCGGAAAACGCTGCCAGCAGGTCCTCAGTCCTGAGTGTCGATTCAAAATCGTAGATCTCCACCACGTGGGCAAAATCCTGCTCTCCGGGCAGCTCCTCGAAGAAGGATGTGTCCACATGGACCTTCTCTACCTGAATCTCCTTCTGGGTCAGGTTGTCCATTATCTGGGTGAGATTGTGCCTTTTAGCGAGGGGAGCTCTGACACAAGGCTCCACACAACTGCTTTCAAACAACACACAGAGTCCTGCGGGCTTCTGGGTGCGCAGGGGGAAGAGTGCTAAGGGTGAGTTCCCATGGGAGCCAGAGCTGTAAGAGACAGAGCTAGGCAAGTCCATGATCTTTCCTTCCCTCCTTAATGATGTGATATTAAGCAAGTCTTTCTGGTCTCCATCCTTCATCTATAAAATACCAATAAGACACCTGCCCTCCAAACTGAACACCACAGTCTCAGGGGGAAACACAGTTCCAAGGAAACAAGGTTTGTAAGACAAAGCTTCAGAAAGAAGAATAATTTTCATGACCAGCATCTATAGGCCCTCACAAAGCAAGTCCACATACATCCTATCTGTGTTACCTTGGGAAGGATGTATTATCATCTGCTTTTCAAATGAGGAAACTGAGACTCAGAAAAGCAAAATGACTTGCCCATAGTCAAATGGCTCCTACGTGGTTGAGCTGGGACCCAAATCCACACCCCTGACCCAGTATCCATGAGCTTCCTCCCCTCCACTGTGTCAGTCCTGACTCCTTTGGGCAAAAGTCCCATGCCTTCCCCCATGTCTCCCAAGGGACCCCTATCACCCAACACACAGCCCTGCTCGGCCAGCACATGCCCAGCCCCTCCATACCACAACCTCTGGTCCCTTCCACCCAGAACTGCACCCACCTCACTTCTGCCCTCCCTTTTCCGGGCTTAAGAGCTCATCACCTCCTGCAGCAGCTCACTGTAATCTTCCTGGGAGAAGCTGCCAGGCCCAACTTCCACCTCTTCCTCTTCCTCCTCTGCTGCCAGGCTCTTCTCCAGCTCACTTCCATTCCCCTCTTCCAAGTCCAGCTGCAAATTGGGCAAAAGCTGTGTGACCTTCTCCAGGCTGTCTCTCATCCCTGAGTGGCTCCTGGGCTCCGAGGGCTCAATGCTCATTGGGTCCAGCAGCTGCTCATTCTCACAATGCTGGCCCGAGCCCTTTAGGTCCTCTGTTGCCTGAGTCATCAACACAGGGTGTTCCAGATCAGAGCTGGGGTCCCCATCACCAACATCTCCAGGCTCTTCCTGGAGGCTGCCAGCAAGAACGTCAGCCTTGTGCCCCTGGGTAGGGGTTAGTGCCCATTCTTCTTGCCTGCGTAGTACCCGAGGCACATACAAAGCCTGGTCGGGCTTGCGTCCTCGATGCCCCCGTCCCCGGCCTGCCCGAGCCCCTCGGGGACCAGCAGCCAGTCCCTGGTTTGAGGTGGGCCAAGGACCTCGGTACTTGTTAGGGTGAGAGGCAGGAGGGCAGCGGGGGCCAGAGAGTCCATCAGAACTGGGCGACCTGAAGCAGGAACAGAGAAGGTGATCAGAGCATGTCTGCGCCCCAAGGAAAATAATTTACTGGAGCTACCTGCCTTTCAGAAATGAGGCCCTCAAGTCAGCATTAGGCAAAAAACAGCGCCAGAATAACCCTTGAAAATACCTTAGGAAGGCATCATAGTGGAGGAGGAATGCTATTTCTAAACTAGCTAAAGCAGACCAACGCTCCCTCCAGTGTTTAAACTGAGTTAGAGATGGCTGAACCTCCAGTTACGTACTAGATAAATACTTGCATTTAGGGACTATGTTATTAGAAAAATATTAAACACGGTTTGATCCCAGGTTTTGGCAACAACAACAAAATCAAACACTAGGCTCACAGTTGTTATAAGATCCTGAGAGATGCACACGGAAAGAGGAGTGAAGGCTCAGATGTGCTTCTCACTTTCATTCCATGGCCTCAGGGGCAAATGCTCCGAGTCATGGGCAGACACCCTCTTTGCTTAAACTGCTCTTTCTTTCTTTTGGCCCAACATGTATAGTTGAATTTGCTAAATGAACTCCACAAACAATGCACATCTACACCACTACTGAAACAAAAGGCAGCACTGACTTTAAGCAACTGAGGCTGGGGATAGAGGTAGCAGCCTGGGGGCTCCCCACCCTAATTTCCAGACAAGCTCTCCCCTCCCAGGAACTGACCAGATCACTCACCTGCCCACACCAACAAGGGACTACAGAGAGCCCTCGAAGGCAGTAGGATACACACCTGACGTCCAGGTGACAGATCACTGTCCTCCTCTTCCAGCCTTCCCCAACAGAGAAGCTGCTCAAAAGATCAAAATTCTCTGCTGTCCTATGGATCAGGTACCGAAGGCGACTGGAGAGTGGGGGGAAAAGAAGTACCCTGGGAAGGGGCAGAAGGAGTGCTGAGCAGGAGCTCCAAGTACAGCCTCTGAGGCCTGACCCCCACCAGGTGCACTCTCGGTTTAAAGGTGGCTTAACATTAGGCTCCCTCTGCCCCTTTGAGTCCCAAGCTGAGTGCAAAGGACCTGAGCATAGAGGTTATCACAGGGAGTTACTGGTCCCATCCCCATTCCTGGGCTGGGGCCTTCAGTCTGGAGGTAATGCTCAGAATTACACAGGAAAAATATAGCTGGGAGAGGCCAGAGAGCAGATCGTTAAACCTAAAGTCCAAGGTCAAAGGCAAATGCAGGCCATTTACCCTGGATGCACCACTGGGGAAGGGAGCAGAGGGGGCGAGGTGCACCCTGCCCTTCCTAGCAGCAGGGCGGGCCCCTCCAACACCTCGCTCCAGCTTACTTTGACAGCTGCTTCTCCAGCAGGAAACGGTCCAGCTCCTCCTGGACGCGGTGCACAAAGTCATTTTCGGTCGGGGAGAGGAAAACGCCATCCAAGCAAAGATGGGCCAGGGTGATAGGTGGGAGAGCCTGTGGGGCAGAGGGCCAGGGCCGGGGTCAGAGCACAGACCGCAGCCACTCCAGCACCGCGGTGTCGGTGCTGCAAGGGACTCAGAGGCACCGCGGTCCAGGTCTCGCCTCCGACGAGAGAAGCAGGCTCCGAGGTGGGGAAGGGCCGTGCCCAGGTCTCCTGGCACAACAGCGGCTGGGCATTGGAGGGGTTCCTGGTCCCCGCTGGAGCACGCTGCCCCCGCACGCGAGCCCGACGTTTCGGGGCCTTTGTGCCCCAGTCGCCCCCCCCCGCCCCAACCTCACGGGGTCTTGGGCTGGGGCAGAGAGTCGGAGAGGCCGGGGCCGCCTCCAGCCTTCTCAGCGGGCGCCGTCGGCCCTCCCCAGACGCGGAGCTGGCGCGAAGGAGGCGACCCGCTCCATCCCCGCCCGCTGCACTCACCGCAGGCCCCCGTCGTGCCACTGCCGGCTGAAGGATCCCCAGAAAGCTGCGCGCCCCTTCGCGGCTCTCAACAGCCAGGGCCTCGGCGGAGGCGCAGCGCCACCGCGCGGCCCGGGGGAGGCATCGCAGAAATAGAGGGCATGTAATTGACTTACTACCCAGGAACGCTCACTGGGTCCTAGGGTCAATTAAATCCAGCCAACACTTTTGAGTGGCACCTAAATAATAGGTAGTGTGGGTGCCAGATTTTGGGCTCATTGTTTCTCTCCCTGGGAAGTGACAGAGTAATAAAGAGAAAGGAAGTTTCTGGGCGCCAAGTATTTCTCTCTTTTTCCTTTGTATTGAATTTATTGACCCTGGTTAACAAAATTATACAGGTTTCAGATGCACAATTCCACATCATCTGTACACTGTATTGTGTGTTCACCACCCCAAGTCTCCGTCCATCACCACTTATCTCCCCTATCCCCCCCTTCACCACACTGTTGTTGGCTGTCTATGAGTTTTTTCTACTTTTTTTTTTCTCAATCCCTCCACTCGCTCAGCCCCACCCCCACCCCAACAACTGTAAGCCTGCTCTCTATCATTCTGTCTCCATTTTGCTTGTTAGTTCATTTAGTCCATTAGATTTTACATATGAGTAAAATCACATGGTACTTGTCTTTCTCTGACTGGCTTATTTCACTTAACATAATGCTCTCCAGGTCCATCCATGTTGTTGCAAAGGGTAAGATTTCTTTGTTTTTTTAATTTGTTTTAAAATTTTTTATTGTCTTGAGAAACAGGGGAAGGAAGAGAGAGAGAGAGGGAGAGAGAGATCGCTTTGCTGCTCCACCCATTCATGCATTCATTGGTTGACTCTTGCCTTTGCCCTGACCTGGTTGAGACCCCGAAACCCTGGCATACTGGGTTGCTCCAACCAACTGAGCAACCTGGCCAGGGCAGTCAGCTTCCCACCAACAGTGCACGAGGGTTCCCTTTTCTCCACATCCTCGCAAACACTTGTTGATTTAATGATGATAGCCATTTTGACAGTTGTGAGGTGATATCTCATTATGGTTTTAATTTGCATTTCTCTGATTAGTGACTTTGAGCATCTTATGTCTATTGCCATCTCTATGTCCTCTCTGGAGAAGTGTCTATTCAGGTCCTTTGCCCATTTTTTTAAAATTTTTTTAATTTTTAAATTTATCTTTATTGTTGAGAGTATTACAGGTGTCCCATTCCCCCCCCCCCAACTGACGCCCTCCACTTTGCTCCCACCCCCTCCCCAGGCCTTCACCCCGTTATTAACTGTATCCATGGGTTATGCATATATGCATATAACTTCTTTGGTTAATCTCTTCCCA